TGCATACGGTGGTTGCGCCCGCAGTACGAGAGGCAGTCAAAGCCAGGTTCTCCTATCTAAACTTCACGATGACAGTTTTTTCTTCGCAGTTATCAGAAATAAGGGCAATCCTTAAGTTTGGTTTTGGCCTCTTCTAATACTGAACTCGAGGGTTATGTGTTTAATTTGACGAAAACAACAAATTTTGTTCAAAGTAACTTAACTATTATCCTACCTGGCGACATTTGAAGAGCGACGAACAAGTTCCCGGACCCAGGGACCAATTTTTTAACAATGTGATAGGGTGTTTGGAGTCACAAACTGATATCTTTTCGTGAATTTTCCTGCTAACAAACTTCTGAACTGAGGATAACACAGCTTATACCTTCTTTGCCTGCCCTAGGAATAGCACACCTGCTGCTGCCTCCCCTAAACTCTGTTTACTGGGCAGAAAACTGAACAAACTGGAGAAATACAGTGGAGTTAACACTGTACTAAAATAACAAGTTATGCTTAAACCCATTACCCCCTGAAAATGTCAGTACATAAAGGATAAAGGTTAATCCGAGTAACTGCTTTGTGACCAATATATAGACAACAGATCCAAATAATTCTTTGTTGGATTTCAAGCCATTTTTTAATGATGGTTTTATACGCTTAATGTAATAAGCTTTAGTAGATTCAGTTTTCATCACTGTTATGCCACAAAATGTAATACTAGCGCAAAATGCAATAACATCAACGCAAAATGTAATAAAGTTATCAACGCGCAATGTAATAACTTTCCAACGCAAAATGTAATAACTTTTTTAACGCAAAATGTAATAAGGCAAAATGTAATAACTCCTGAATTGCAAGTATGCTCAAAACAAAAGATATGACAGGCCTACACGGACTCCCCTCGTGAATTGCGATAGCGATGCATTTTAGCCTTCAATTAAATTTTCGTTCTAACGAGCGTATCTTTGATATGATATAATCGCAGGTTTAGTATAGATGCCTTCATGTAAGCATCATTTTGTTTTTCCTCCGCCATGTGTTCTTTGGTGTCCGTTGGAGGACAGTAAGAAGGCGTTTTGGGGGCTGTGTAATCGACATCCTCGTCACCAGATGTACTTAGCAGTAATTCGTTGTCTGACATCATAGTTG